AAGACTAGAGCAGAGTTTTCAGTTGACTGAATGTTATATTAATTAAAAATCGATAAAAATTGTCTAGAAGAGACTTTTGAGTTAGAAAACTTTCTGTTAAATTAAGAAGATTGATGAAGTTTTGTGGCTTATTTATTTAGGAAGGAATTACTTCAATTATTTATGAATTAAGGCACTGTTCAAGGTTTTATAAAAGTTGACATTTATCAATTTTAAATTCCACCAATTGTTGACAAATTTAAGCACAAATTTGTCAAGATTAATACATTAAAATCAAATAAAGGACCTCAATATTGCATTCTCAATTTCACGGAATTGATATATGTCTCATTTCCAACATAAATAATGTTCATCCCGCAGCTTCGTCTTTCTCAGTGACTTAATTTATACATTTTCTCGACGAATCTTTAAAAAATGCCTAAAAAAGAAGAAATGAAAGAAGAAAAAAAAATCAATTTGAATTTGATTAAAAAGAAACATTCAAAAAAACGGCAACAACATCGACGACGATGATAAGAAAGAACAAAATACAAGGTAGTAAATAATGTCAATTTTTGAGTGTTAATGGCGCATTTTTAATTATAAAGAGATTGGCAAAAATTGATATGGATTGCGGTCATTCTTTTATGATGTTCAGTAACTCAAGACATCGTTAAGGGACCGTTCACTTATGACGTCCAGGGGGGGGGGGGGGGGGTCAGCAAGAAAAGAACAATAGAAATTCCTGGAAACCCATTGTTCTCTTTGAAAAATGACCGTTAATTTCGGACGTCATAAGTGAACGATCCCTAAGTGAGCAATGTGATAATGGTACCTAACTTATGAACATCCCAAAATCTTAAAATATTTTAATAATCAATAATATTTACGCCAAAGAAACTCAAAATGCGTCAAAAAGTAATAAAATTTTTAATTTAATCTTTGATACGAGACTAAGCAGTCACAAAGACATCAGAAAACCTCAAAGGCATCTCGAAGATAATCGTGTTAAAAAAATTTCAAGTTTTAGCATTTATTTTAAATATTTTTATTGTATTTAATGTCGTACGAATTCATTTTAATATGAAAAAAAGGCAAAAAAAAATAATAATGCGAGGCAAAACTTAATTAATGTGGAATATTCAAGCGTAAAAAATCTTCAAAAAGCTCTTTGACATTATTTCCACTCTCTGCTTGCCTGATTGTCACACGGAACAAAAAATAAAAAAGAAATAAAGGCACACGGAAAAAGCAGAGTCACATTAATTCAGGGTGTTATCTTGAAATTGCCTCACGGCATCGTTTTAGTACATATATGTGTACATACATCCATGTATGTAGATGAGTTCTGTACATGCGACTGACATGAAAAAGGAGACGACAATGGTGGTGATGGTTGAGTGAAAAAAAGAGGTTCCTTTGTGCTTAAAAAGCTAAGAGAAATGAAAAATGATAATTTTTGATGTGAAAATAGCATTTTCCCTTCGGGATGATTTTAGACAGATATTGCTGACAATTGGGTCAGTGTTTTGTCATCATAAGTGTTTCCATTTTCATGTTTTTATGTCCACATTTGGTTTTTGTTTCACTTGAATTTGAATCTGATCCAAAAATTCTATTTAATTCAACAATTTTGGTATTTTAGTGATCAAAAATCAGTCATTGAGTTTTGGAAATGCGAGAAAAAGTCGCTCAAGGGATCAAAATTTTATTAAAATTTAATTTCGAGATTTTTCAGCAAATTTATGAAAATTTCCTCAACGACAAAAACAAAAGAAAGCATAAATTAAATTTTCTTAAGGTTAATTAGGATTGAAATTTTTACATCGAATTAATTCAAAATACGGAAAAATGAGAAGACTTAAAAAATTTAATTTTATTCGAGATATTTCAAAGAAAAAATGATCTTGAATTAATTAGAAGAATTTTTTTTTGCGCGTGGATATAAGAAATTGTTTTTCTTTCCACAGAGTTTATAAACAAAAGAATTTTTGAGACTTTTTTGTGTGGTTTGGGAGCGTTTTTATTGGAAGTTGGAAATTTGGTTAAGAAAAATATTTTTTGAGACACTTTTTCCATCAAAAACTTGACACTTATCTAATTTGCTTTTAAATATCCGTTCACTTATCAGCAAGGGGGGTCAGCAAGAAATGAACAACAGAAATTTTTGAAATCCATTGTTCTTTTTTTAAAAATTTCGCTGTGTCGATAAAGAAGCGAAGTTTCAGCTCGAAATTCTAACTTGTACCGGTGTACTTCACATAGGCTTCCTTATTAAATAAGGTGTGGAATCCCAGATAAAACCTTTAATTTCAAAAATTTAACAATCCAAAAATCCTAGTTATTTAAAAATATGCTCCAAAATTCTCACAAATTTACATTCAGTTGTACTACAAAATATCGATTTTCTCAGTGATTCTCCACAATATAAATAGACCTTCTGTCAATATTAAACATGGAAATAACTTTAAAGAGAACTAAAAAGGATGAGTGTAAATAACAGAACATTTCCAACGACACTTAAGTTTTCTTGTTTTATTTGAACTTTTTGATTATAATTAATTACTGTTTGGTAAAAGATACGAATAAGAAGTCAAGTCAAGCCTAAAATTAATTACTAGTCCTAGTCCATTTTGTGATATTGATTTACCGAATTAGAATAAGCTTAAAAACAAAAAAAAAATGTGTAATTTTGAGTAGGTTCTATTGAATATAGTTTATCATCCTTATTAAATCTGATGAGTTTCAATTTTCATAGTTTTCCGTGACCGAACAAAGCCTTTCTCATTTTTTTATTGTTTAATAAGTCGGCCTGTAATTTTTTTTGTTAACTTTTTTTTATGGTAAATTATTGTAGTTCTTTTGGAAAGTGTGTTGGAGTATTAATTCATAATGATAGTAATTATAAGATTGTGTTAAGATCGTTATTGCGTGATTGTAAATGAAATTCGCTACTTCATCAAGTTCCTGAAAGAATTTCCTTAATATTATCATTAATTTAAGAATGCAAAGTCACGAAAAATTCTAGTCATGATACAATTATAAATATTAAGGCGCACACATGTTTCTATAGCTGTTACATATGAATGTCTTCAAACATTGAAATATTTCCGAGTATTTCCTTTAAAAAATCGTAATTCAATTTCCTCAAATTTCAATTTTCTCTTCTTTTTATTTTACAAAAGAAAACACATAAGCATAATATTGTTATGTTACATACTGAATGATGTAACATACAAAGATAATATGATATGCAGTAATATGCTCATCTTCTTTCTTCCTTTTGTATAAATGAATACATGAATAATGTCATTTGTGAACATTAAGATGTTACGTTATCTGATTTAAGATTATGGCATTCTTAAAGAGAAGTTTTTTGTGACTTAGGAACAATTCCAGTCTTGAATGATGTTTTTAAATTTTTAATCATCTTTATTGTGTGGCTTGAAATTACGATTATTTGAATCTTTTATTTTAATAAGCACGTGGCATTCAAAATGTCAAATAATTTCGCAAGGAGTTAGCTTGTGGCTAGACTAACGACCTAGGTTGGTTTTATTTGCCTTTATGCTTTACAGGTTCATCAAAAATATTATTTTCTCTCTTCAGATTGAGATACTTTCCCGATCGGCACACATTGAAATGATTGCTACCCGACAGTCGGGTAGATAGTATAATTAGATCCAAGCAACTTCCAACTGGATGCCAGTGTTTCAATGAATTTCAATGTGCCGATCGGGTTTGTGAACTTTTTAAAATAATTCCCACCTGAGTGACACATAATTCTATTTTCCAGCCCTATAGTATTCAAACTTATGGATTATGTTATAATTTCATGTTCTTTTTCGTACCGTATGTCACTCGGCTCATATAAAAATATTTCAAAAATTCTGAGCATTAGAATTCATCGTGGGTGGAAGAATCAATTTTACCTAAATAAATAAACAATGATAGAATAAATTGAAGAAGCATCTGAAATATTCTAAAAATATTTTGACTTATTTCAACCTTCGCAAAAATTCTCATAGCTTTAGCAACCGTAAAAATAAAAAAGAACATCTCAAAATTTCTCTTAATTCTCATCGACGCATGAATAAAATATTTTTCTGTCACAAAAATTTTTGACATCAAATTTGAGTCGAGAACGAATGAGTTAAAAAAAGAAATTTCCAAATTTATCGAGAAATTCATGACACCAAAAAGACAATACAAAATCATTAGAGACATTATTTCCAAGAAATAAATATTTATTGCGTGTATTTCCATCTCATTTAAGGTACAGAGCTGAGTAGAATTCATAATAAAAAAAACGTGGTAAAAGGGAGGAGAAGAAGAACAGAAGCAGAACAAGACATAAAACAGAGGGAAAGGAACACCAAAAAAAAATAGAAGAAATTCTGAAAGAGAAATGGAACAAAAAAATAATTGAAGCATAAAAGAGAAGAAAAAAAAATCAACAAGTTTATTAAAGAAAGAAACAGACAAAGAAGAACGAGAGAAGTGCCACCGACAGCGCAAAGTGTCTAAACATCTACAATTGTCATCATTGTTATTTTCGAGTTGCTTGTTAAGAATTCTTTCTATTTGCCCATAAAAAAATATATAAAATATGAATCCTCAAATCAAAATCATCACCATCAACAACACATGGAGTGGATATTTGTGTAGTGTCAAGTGCTTATGCTGATGCTTAGTTGTAAAGAGTCCCTGAATGTGCATAGCTTAGAAGAAATTTTAAAAGAGTTTGTGTCTATGTGATTAGCTTGTTGAAAAATACAAAAAATTTCTCTCTATACTGCAATGCACCAAAAATGCGATGACAGTTGGACACAGAGAGATGGAAAATTAAATTTGAAATTCACAGCAGAAACACGCTATAGCAAGCGGACTGCTGCAAGTGCAATGTAAACAACAAGAAGAAGTTTAAGTGAAATGTTAAAAAAGAGTGAAAATAAACAGAAATAAGGAACATAAAATAATAAAAATAAAATAAAACCTATAAAAAAATTCTTACACAAAAAATGTCGATAAATGTGCAATGGAAAATGAGGAAAAAGTGTTTTACATTTTTTTCAATTTTCAGTATTATTTGCTTCTTTAATGAATTTAAAATCACATGCGGGATTTACAATGATGCCGATGATCTCGTTAATGAGCTCGATAGACCGAGTGAGTATGAAAATTTTAATTACACAAAAAATGCCACACACAGAAGCTGCTCCGTTGCCCCGTTTGTTTGACTTTCTAATTTTTTATTCATCACTAATTTGTCGACTGTTTTTTCTGTCATTATGTGTTCATTAAAAATCAACTTGACGATGACTGAATGTGATGACAATGTTGATCAAGGGCTCTCAATTATTACTGGTACACTGCACTTTACATGTGAGCAGTGATTTGAGTATTTTTAGATAAAATTTTTGAAGAATGAAAGTTAAAGGAGGTGTGAGATATTGTAGCTATGGACCACATTTTGAGTAGATAAGAGTCAGGTTTGTTCAGAGTTTACCAAGCTGTGAGGGAGGGGAGTGGAATGTCAGGCTGTCCGGTCTTTTTTAGCACAGATATATCGTTAAATATCGAAAACATAAAATATTCTAAACACAGACCTGAGACATTTAATTACATGCGTCTAAATTCTATCCAATTTTAATACTCACTTAATTTTTACTGCCTTTCTTGTTTACACTATTCGAAAAATATAACTTGCTCTAAAAATAAACTTCATAGCCATCAAATTGGAAACTACACAGATTATAAGCATCAAATTGAGTAGAAATGGTTCAGGCTGTTGTATAGACGATAGGAAAATTAAAAAATAAATAAAATTGAGACACAAAATATAACATAAATAATCGAATTGATGACAACATGCATGCCATGCACAAGAAACATTAAACAATCACCGCTGCTGTTCCTCATATTCCATTTTTGGATTCTTATTACTTAAAGTGAAAATGAAAAGTGCGTTGGCGACTCACGAATGAGATTAAAGCGAGCAAATGAAAAAAAATTCATAAATGTTTGCGCTTTACATTAGCACTGCTGTAAATTTGTTGTTGGCTTTTGTTTTAAGCCTACATTCCTCAGAAACATTTTATCAGATTTTAGTGGAATTTTAGGAGAAATTCAATTTTTTCTTCGAAGATTCTTATAGCATTGAGGGTCATTTACTAGTTACGTCAAATGTTGGTATGGAGAGCAAGAGATGCATTTAGATCTCATCTGTTAAGTTTATTTTGGGAGCTTAAAAATGGGTTCAGTCTTGCAATTCATGAGATATCATTTCTATTCGACCACACCATAATTTACAGAATACAATAATAACAGTAAATGCTTCAAATAGTCTTAAAATTCAACAAAATTTGCTTCAAAAGATTCCATCTAGTAATTGACATTCATTAAATGTTTACATTTGGTCACGATGAGTGCCGGCATTTTTCGATGAGAGAATCACAAGTTGAAATAATTACTGATGATGATGATGATGATGCTAAACAGAAGTGACAGAAAATTCTTGCTGCTCATCACAAAAAAATGTTGTTTCTTCGTCTTCTTCGTGTTATTCATTTAATTATCATTCAATTTGTTTTTTCTTTTATAGACGGACGAGAAGATGATCGAAAAATAATTTTTGTTTCTGTTGAAAATATCCAGTCTTGAAATAAAAATTAATAGAATCATTATATTGGGCATTAAAAATTGAAGTTCTCTGGCGTCTGGTTTAAGAGCTGTTTTAAAGCAGCAGATTCCAATTTTTATATTATAAAGGAAATGTTTATAATTTTTGAGTTTGCGAAAGTTTTATCAAGAAATTCTTCAGACTTCAAAGACCGTTTATTTCGAATAGATTTCAAAAGCATTTTAAAATATTCTAAAATTAACTCCAATAAAAAAGACGGTATCTCATTCCATCTCGATTTCCAAAGAAAAAGGTTCTAAACCAATAAAAATAAAATAAAAGAATTGACATCAACTAGCGTTGTTGCATTAATTATCAAATCAATAAGAAAACTGAATGAATGAATGTCATCCACGACGTGCTTCCCATACGCAATACCAAATAAGAAAACGTGAATAAGAGACAAAAAAGATCCACACACAAAAAAAAGAAAGAATTTAATCTGAAGTCAGTCTCGAGACTTTCTTTCGTGATAAAAAAAAGTTATTTTCTATCTTTTTCTGCTGCTTGCTCATCGTCATCGTCGACAGACGCCAATAAAAATGTATAATTTATTAATTCCACTTACGATGCAAGTCAAGTCAACTGATGAGACACAAAAAAACCTCAAAAATTTATTACAAATATTGTGGACTTGCATTATCATCTTCACTTAAAGTAAATGCAATGTCTCCGCCTGCCGTTTACTTTCTACATGCGTCTGACCATGCCTCTGGTATCTGTAAAGTGACTGTCAAATGAAATAATGAAAGTCATTAAATAAAAATTATTTTAAAGAACTTCCGAGTCGACTTTAAATCACAGCGAGATGCATTCTCATTGAGTCTCAGTTAACAAGCATGAAAACATTCATCGCTATAACTCATTGAATTAATTGTGTTGAATGAAGTGCCTGCAACACTCAGCATAAAAGTGCAACTCGAAACTTGCTCTTTTCTGTTTTATGAAATAAATCTCGCAACGAAACATAAAATTAAATTTATGTTAAATTTTTGAGTTGCAATGCTGCATTTGTGTACATTTTGAGTAGTTGACAGGTTGAGATACTAATCGTGCAGTATAATCCTCGAAAATTAAACAAAAATTGTTTAAACTAAAATTACCTAATTCAATTTAATTTTATCCTGTTCTTCTAAACATCGTCCATATTCAGGTCATCAAATGCATCCAAAAATGCGCTACAATCATCGATATGCCATAATTTTCCAACAAGATTTTTGATTTATATTAAACTTTTTATGTTTTGATGTTTCGAAATATAAACAAAATGAAAATTAATTGCAATTACGATCATCAACTCTGCCTTTACAGTGTTAACCACACATCATTACTTGCATTGATTATTGAAATAATAAAAAAAATTACTGACAACAAAAATGCGAACGAAAGAAGAATTATAAAAAAATTAATATAAACCATGAAATGAAAAGGCTTTAAAAATATAAACAAGCTTTAAATTAACGCTGTAGACTTCAATGTTCTTACATTTTGAGCGCATTTTGTGCGGTTTAAAAATAGACTTTTTTGTGGTTTGAATTAACTTCTTGAATACTACAAAAGAAAACAATTTTACATATCAAGAGTTTTGAAACTTCATTGACCTTCGATCTTGTTGAACAATATTCAAAATAATGGAAACTTCAGCTTTTGATCTGTTGATGTATAGCTCAGGGATGGTTTGTAAATGACATCTTGCTTTAAAAATTTAATCTGTTGATTTAGAGACCAATCGAATCTAGGATCTTGCGAAAATTAAGCCTGACTCATCTTAGCACTAGATTCGGCTCCGTATGTACCCCCCTCACCCCCCCCCCCCCCCCCCCCCTATCTAGGATTCTTTAATTATCTTCCTAGATCTTTATGAATCTAGGATCTAATGAAAAGCCTTACTCATCTTAGCACTAGATTCGCCTTCTTATGTCTCAAAACCAGCATTCCATCATTTGCGATCGACCACCCCCCCAGAATGTTTGAATTATTCTTATGAAACAGAATCATCAGATAATCCGACAAAACCAAATCAAACATAATGAAATCTGCTCTTTGACCTACAACTCTATTCTCTGTTAATCCTGAAAATAATAGAAACCTCAATTTTCAATCTTCCATTACGAAAAAAAATCAGTTTCAAGAACTTTCTTCATGTGTTGCATCTGACTTTTCATTACACCATTAAACGTCCATTTCATCTCGTTCTTCCTCATCCATTCATGTAGCTTATCATATCCATTTCAACAGAAAGAAAGAAAAGAAGCAAGAAGATCCAGAAAAGAAAAGCAATAAAAAATGCATCATCATGAGAAAGTCAGCAAAGCGTTTCGCGTTTACTTTATTGCATCATTGCGTTTATTTTATGGTGATTTCGTGCTTATGGTCAGAAACTCTTATCATCTTTTAGTTATGCGCCATTAAAAAATTGTTTTTATAGTCGATTCTCACTTTAAACATGCTATAATGTACATAAGCATTGCATTACATTGCATTTGTTTGGCTGTTGAAGGTGGATGGACATGAGTGAAAGTTGGGAGTTACTGAGTTAAAGACGCATGTTGATATTGACCATAATTATGGAACACATGAACATCTATCGATTCCTACTGTCAACTGTCTTCTAATTTGTAACTGTCAAACTATTTGTCAACCAAATCTTCCATAAATAGTAAATCCACAATTCACATAGCTCTGGTAACTGACAAAAATATTAAATGCTGAACTGTAGGTTGAATAAAAGACAAACCATGATTTTATTCATCCAAACTCAACAACCACCAATCACACAAATAGACAGACTAGCTTTCTTGATTTTCTGTCGACTCTTATCAACCTCCACACATTAAAAAGTGCTAAAAAGTAAACAACAAAAAGGCAATTTGTTGTGAACCGCCAGAAAGCATAAAACAACATAAGACGATAAGAATTATCATCATAGAGGTGCACTTTTGAAATAGTAGAAGTCAACAAAGCGACTCAATGGAGAATGAAAATGAATATAAAAACATTTTTTTTTTTTATAAAAAGAACGGAAAAACTTTATGGCAATTGCTCTTGTTGAAATAGAGAGAACTGAACTGCATTGTGAATAAAGTGGAAATAAAAATAATATTTTTATTTTTATGTGCAATAAAGGTGGTTTACATGGTTTTTTCACATGAAAGATTTGTTTTTGGGTCTATCAGAATGTATGGCATTGAGATGGGAATTTTATTAGAGTTGAAAAATGGATTTTTGTTTGCTTCGGGCTTGATGATGCGAAACTTGCAGTATTTTTGGAATAATTGGGATTCATAAGGGGGATTGCATGGTATGTATTTGAAATTTCAAGGGAGGCTCGAAAGTTTGTTAATAAAAATACTTAAAAATACACAAATACTGAATCTGCAAACCAAATTCTACTATTCAGCATAATCAAATGAGTCCTCAACTCGACAAAAATAAATATTTTCACAGTGGGAAACAATCGATGATATTTCAACATGTATATTAACTA